AGAAATTCCGTTGAGAAGATGACTTGCAAGAGTAGTTTTCATTACAGATTACAATTAATCAGCCACACGATATCAGCTGCTTTCAGAAAAAATGCAATACGATAACGGTTAGTTTCTCTTTTCTTGAAGAAAACATTCGATGGAATCTTAATGATGAATAACCAAAACTCATTTCAACATGTTCAAATCAAACGGAATGAGACTGAAATCCCCCTCCCTTTCCTATAAGGTATTACATTTTTCCTCGTGATAAATGCACATATCAATACGTTAATATCATCATTCCCAATACTGTTCACGAAACCATTACACCGGCATTTCATATAAGCACATCAATAACAGTAATAATAACAACGAATCAAATTCAAACAAAATGCAAAATTAAAATCACTAAAATTAAAATGCAACGTCCGTCACACAACCTTATGTTCATCGGTCGGCATATGACTAAACTCGTAATCGCAGTGAACAAACGCCCTTTCGACCTCTTCCAAGCTCTCGATGTTGGTCTGCAAGGACTCGCTGATGTCATGCGCAGTCTTCAGTGTCATCAACGCATCCATGACTACATGCACCTCAACCAGAAACCGCAAACCGAAATGATACACGTACACTGTGTCGATATAGTCGATCCGGGGGTCGTGCTCTACACACACCTGAGTTTTATTCATTTAATCATCTCGCAAGCATTAACCTTACTCAAAATTAACAACAATAATAAGAAAAGAACACAAAATAACAGTAGCATAATTTCAAAGTGATATCAGTAATCAATTCACTCTCACAAAGCAGCAATAATCACACCAAACATCTCACTGAAATTACCCAACTGTTATTCATACTGAAGAGAATGTGTAAATGAACAGCACTGAGCCAAACGACTCACCTTAACAATCCTGTTAATAAATTCCGGTTCAGCAGATTTACCGGACAGCATCGCCAGGTGCTGTTTACCCGTAAAGTACCACGTTGTGGCGATGTAAATCGAAACGATTATTGCACCGATCGGGTCCAAATAGATCCAGAACTTGCTGGCTGCCCAAGCGCATAACTGAATTCCTCGCATTCATTATCGCCGTCAAAAACAACTCGAAACACTTTACCAATCGAATCGCTATTCTCATATTTATCACACTAATTCAAAGCAAAATAGAACCAAACATAAATGAAATCGCAATAATAAGTTCTTAATAATTAACAGTTCTTTTACTCAACAAATACAATAAATCATTAAGAGTTTCTCATCAGTTTAATCATTATTATTCATTATTATTATTATTATTATTATCACTATCACTATCACCAATCATACAGACGAATCGCTCGTGCACGAGTATGATCATATGGAATTTATTCCGAATTCACGTGCTCGTATTGTGCGTTC